TCTTATCTGTCCGCTTGATTTATAGATTTTTTTGTAGGTTCTGCTCTCTTGTGTGTTCTTTCCCTTAAATTTGGCTGCTTCTTTCTCATGTGTGCACATTGTCCCTTTGTCTTACATGTAATTTTCCTCTTCTATCTTGTGCTCCCTCTCTCTTGTGGCTTTTCTTCTTTCTGTCACGTTCTTTCCCTCTTACTTGCATGTGAGGGCTTTCCCTCTCTGCTGTGCACATTTTCTCTTTCATGCTGTTTCTTTCTGTCCTGGGCTTTCTTTGTGCGTCTCTTGAGCAATTTTCTTTCTATATGTCATGTCATCCTCGCTGTCTTACCCACTATGTCTTTGCTTCTGCATTCTTCTCTCTTGTTCACTCCCTGTCAATCTGCCTATGCTTTGCCCTTTCCCTCTCACTCTTCTTTCCCTCTTGCTTGCTGTCTTACCTTTGCTTTCCTTTTTCTCTGGCTGACTCATTTTATTCCTTGCTCACTCTTTTCTGTCTACTCTTTTTTCTCTCTCAGTCACACTCTGCTTTCTTTGCCCTGCTTCTATTTATATTTCTTTGCCTCTTCCTCACTCTGTCTATCCCACATGCCCCTTTTCTCTGTCACTCTATTGCCCTCTTTTCTTTGCATGTCTTGTTGTCTTGCTTGTTCTTTCTCTCTGCCATTGCTGTCCCACTCCATCTTTGTATCTTCCTCTTTACTGCCCTCTTTTTCATTCCCATTTTTGCTCCTCCTTTCCCGTCAGTCTCCTCATCTCTCTCACACCCCTTCTACTCACTCCTGGTCTCTCCCAATGTCATGCTACCCACAGCACTACCATCCATTATCTTCCTTGCCCCTCTCTCTGTGCCTTCCTAGCTCTCCCTCTTTCCCCTTACTCTGGGCTCCCTTCTTTCTCAACCTATCTTCACCTCATCTCTCTCTCAGGCTAACCTTTATTCTTCTGTTTTCCTCTCTTTCTCCCTCCAACCTTCTTGTCCCTCCCTCTCACTTGCCCAGTTTCTCTAGTTTCCTTCTCTTATTTCCTCTGCACATGCAGTTTCCTTCATGCATGTTCTCTTTCCACCTTTGTATTACCCTCTTTTCCACTCTTTTTCCCACTTCCCTTGTTTTTTTCTCCTCTGCCTTGTCTCTCTCATTCTGTTCCCATTCCCTCTCTTTCCATTTATCTTTCCTTATTACTAGTTCTCTTTCTGTCTCCTTCCTGTCCTCATTCTCTCATTTTATTGCTTTCTCTCTCCCTCACTTCCCCCTCTCTTCTCTCTGTCAAATTTATTTTCCCCATTCTCTTTCCATTCTCTCCTATCTCGGTCCCTTTTTCTCTATCCTCATTGTCTGTCTTTTCTGTCTTCCACCTTCTTCTCCCTCTCTTATTTCTTCTCTCACCCTTCTTTTTTCCATTTGCCTTTTATTCACCTTTTCTTGTCAGTCTCTCTTTATCTCTCCTTTTTCTCTCAGTCTCTTTGAAGGTTCTTTCTCCATTGTCTTCTCCCCACCATATATCCTTCTGTCTTTTCCCTTTCCTGTCACTCTCTTGCCCTTTCCCCTGTTTTTTCACCCCACATTCTTTTCTCTGTCTCTTCTTTTCAATATTTGGCTTCCACACTCTCTTTCTGCATAAAGCCCCCAACCTTTTATCTCTTTCCTACCCTCCTTGCTCTTTTCCCTGTGTGTGCTTCTTCCCCTCTGCGTCTGCCTCCCTCCTTAGCCTTCCTTTCTGGGTTTCCACCTTTTATTTCCTCTTACCTCTACTCTTTCACTCTTGCTCTCTGTCTTTCTTCTCTTGCCTCTCCCTTTTTCTTTACTTCTCCCCATGTCCTCTCTTTCTCTCTCTGTGTATCTCCATCTGGATCCACCTCTCCCTCTTTCTCCTGCATTCCCTCTCTTCCTGCCTCTGTCCTCTCTCCCGCCTCTTTCACTCTGCTTGTTCCCTGTACCCTTCTCTCCTCACTCACACTCCTTTCCTCTTCTCCTTATTCTCTTCCTCTCATTCTGTTTCCTCTCTCCCTTGCTCTCCCACTCCTGCACTCTGCTGTCTCTGCTTCCCCTCTCCCCTTTTTGCTCTCAAACTCTCCCCTTCCCTTGCTATTGCCCTCGTTCTTTCTGTCTCCTTTTCTCCCTCTCTTTCTAGAAGGTTGTCCACATTTTCCTCAGAGCTGTCTTTTAAGTTCCTTGGTCCTACTGAACGTACTCAAAGTGCAAAGTAACATCTGCAATCTTCTGAAAGTTGTGTCGTGTCTGTTTGCTTTACATTTCCTGTGTCAGAGCCAAGATTACTATTACAGTATCACCAAAGCTATGGCATGAAAAATCCTGTGCTGATTTGTCTGCCTTCTCAGCTTGAGTCCAGTCTGCAGCTACTATACCAAGGTATCTTCCTCAAAAATCAGATTGGTCTTGCACTGAATTTCTTGCCAAGATGAAACCATTTCTGTTTACTGTTCCTTTTATGCTTCACAGTATTAGCATTGTCTCCTCCTTTGCAGAGATTCTAGGGTATGGGTTTACAGATCCTGCTGTAATCCATTTTTTTTCCCAAGAGAAAGTGTGTGGGGCTCTACAGTCTTTATGGCAATGATGAGTATTATTCTTTTTAATAATTCAGCTTCGTGTAAATTATTTGTAAGTCCAACACTCCTTTAAACTTGCCAAAGTAAAAAGTGTGTATGATACTTGGGCTTAGTAAGAGTATCCCTGTGTAATCCCGGAAGACCTTTCATTGCACCACAAGGAATAAAGAGTCTCTGAAGATGAATCTGCTGTGCTTTGTGCCAGAAAAAGTTATGATGAGAGTTGAGAGCAGTATTCTGGTACAGTGCATAAAGTATACACAGTGCACTGAAGAAATTGTCCCCCTTTTCTCTTCAGTGCTTTGGATATTCCTTCCTCTTAATTCTGAAATGGATTGGAGCATAGTGCCAACTTTGTGTCTTCTCTTAAATTCATAAGAGCTGCTTATCGATGCTGGCCTCTCAGTGGTTTATGCTGTTATTCAAGCAGAAGCAAAGCCATTCAGAGGAACAATTCCAGAAGGAGATCCGTATTTGTAGACTTTTGCTTCCATCCTTCTTCATTAAAGACACATTTCTGGATGTAACCTGTACTTTTTGCTGTCAATGGCCTTGTTCTACTCTTTTTACAGGCCTTTTACTTTTTCACCATTATTTTTCCATATTCATCTGTTCTGTGGCCGACATAACTGAATCCTTGGTTCTGGTAGCTGTGGATAGGACTGTACGTCAGATACTGTCCTTCTGCATTTATCTAGGATTTTTCTGTCTCCTTTTCTCACACCTTTTCTTGAAGCTCAAATTCTTCTCAAGCGTTTGTGTTTTTGGAGTGGCAGGAGTAAGTTGAGGAGAGAGCTGTTATTTTAGTTGTCACAAGTTTAAAAATAGTTACTGCAATGGAAAAATAGAAGAAAGAATTGACTCTGCCCTCAGTGCAGAAGAGGGAGCATTGCTTCACAGAATCAGAGAACAGCCCATATTGGAAACACCCTCAAAAGATCACCTGGTACAACCTTTCATGGGAAAGGGGGAGCATCTAGCATCCTCTCCAGTCTCATGTTGAAAATCTGCAGTGATGGGGACTCCCCCGCGTCTCTGGAAAAATTGTTTCCATGATTGATTGGTTTTCTCACTATAAAACATGTCTTTCTTACACTAAGATGAAACCTCTGCTGGTGCAATTTGTACTCATTGCCTCTTGTCTTCACCTGGCAAAGAGAGCAGCTCCATCCTCTTTGAAGCCACCTTTAAGTACTTCAATACTGGAATGCTGTGACCAGGTCTCCCTCAGCCTTCTCTATGGAGAAGAGACCTAACTCCTACAGTCTTACCTTGCAGAGCCCTTTGATGCTCTCCAGTCCTCCTTCAGACCCTTTCCAGTCTGTTCATGTCTTTTTGCAGTGGTGGGGCCGGAACTGAACATTGTACTATGAACATACTTATCAGGTATGGCCTGACAAGCCCTGAGTAGAGTGGGATGATCAGATCTCTCCCTGCTAGTAATGCACCTGAAAATGCAGCCCAGGACTGATCCACCTCTTGCTGCAGCAGCGCTCTGCTGATTCCTGTTTAATTTGCTGACCAGCACCCACAGGTCCCTTTCAGCAACACTGTTCCCCAGCAACGTGTATCCTAGCCTGTACTGGGCTCTTTGGTTATTCTGAGCTGGGTGCAGGACTTTGCACTTGTCTTTGCTAAACTTCATACAGGTCTTGATAGTCCACTCCTCCAGCCTGTTCAGAATCTGTCCCTTCTGACATGTCTACCTCACCACCCAGTTTGGTGTCATCAGCAGGTTGGTGAGGGTGCTTCAGTCATCCTGCCACCTAGATCATTTATGAAAATGTTGAACAGTTTGAGGCTCAGTATCAATCACTGGGGGACCCTACTTGTGACTGGCTGCCAGCCTGAGTAAAAAACATTGATCACCACGTTTTGTGGCCTTGTTGGATGGTTTCCTGTCCATACTTGAGTAATTTGTGCTTCACCTTTCTAGAAACGTGTTGTATCGCTGTCGTCATGTCCTGTTAGACTGGTGTGTTTTAAACTGTTAAATTTTGAATTTAATTGAAGGACTTGATAACAGTTAAATTTCTTCAGACCCTGCCTGTCAAGAACAATTGCCAGATGCAGTTTTTCTTTACACCTTTATCTAAGATGACGAAGAATAACTGTTTACAAAGATGGGCAAGGAGCCACAGATGCACCTTAACACAAAATCAAGTTATAAATGTGATTGTTATTCCTTGTATGTCGATGCCAATGTAAAGGTGGTTTAGGTTTTTTCTACCAAAAGCCTTCTGAAATGTTAAGTGAATTGTGGAAGAATACTTGCAGAAAATGGAATACCTATGATTTGAAATACTTACTGTTTGTGTTTTGCTTGTTAGGAACTTTGATTATTTAGTTATATCTTATTGCATTAAATTCTGGGCCAGTGACAACATAAATAGACTGATTCTACTTCTTTTTTTTTTATTCTGGACCTGAACAGAACAACACATGCTAAAGATAACCTGAACAGAGACTTCTGGGAATGCTTGGAGCCATGATAACAGGCAGGAACAGTCACTGCATATATACCAGCGTGGGTCACCACAGAAGTAGTGAGGAAAAACATATCAAACATAGCACTTGGGATTTCATGCAAATCCTGTTTTTGAAGAATGGCTGGAACTCAGCAATAGCTGTCATAGCTTACATGGAGAAAGCTGGTTTCCTGAATCAGAGCTACCTACTGAAAAAGAGTAGCTTCTTGTGAAGAAACCTAGAGATTGCGTGGCCATGTTGCCTAGAGTGCAGTTCAGTTATTTCTTTGTCTGCAGTCCTGAAAAAGACTCAGATGTTTGAGCTTGTGAACTGTTTCCTCATTTCTTTACAGGAAGGTGAAGACCAACCAAGTGAAGCTGCAAAGCAGAGAGTTTCCAGTACTTTTAAAGTTGATTGCCACAGGATCAGTATTTGGAGAAATGAGCACGTTTCCAAGAAATGTGCTTTTAGAAGCCTTTACTAAATGTACAGTTGATTTCTTACCTGAGCAATTAAATGATGATAGTAGACATTCAGAGTGGCTGTTCAGACCTTCTGGCCCAATGCCAGCATAATTGGATTTCTACTTACAGTCTAATATAAATCTTTGATAGGTGTGCAATTTAGGAAGTTCATTCAAAATGGTTTTCAGGGGCCAGAGTTGATCGTGTAAATTTCCAAAGGACTCCTGGTTCCTTTGGAACTGTGTCTTTCCTGACAATGCAGGATTCTGTGCTGTAGTCTAAAAAAGCCTTGTAAGAATCAAACTAGATGAGAGTGGGACATGTGGGAGAGACGTAGCAAATTTGTTCTTGCTGCTAAACTGATGGATATTTGCTTAGATCAGAGAAATTTCATACAGATTGCAGATGCTCCAAGATGCTGCAGACACTTGGAGTGCTACAAGGGTTTGTTTCTGACTGCAACCCCTTTATTAGTATGAACAGGACAAATTAACAAAATGCCAACTATTTTGCAGCGAGCACTAAAAAGGGACATTTTGCAAACTGAAACTGCAGAATGTCTGGAAAGTGCCACTTAATACAGGAAAAAATGTTAATACAGTAAAAATTGCCTTAAAATAGGCAAATTCAGTAATAAGAGATTATCTAGGCAGTAAAATTCAGCTGAAACCCTCTAGAAACAACCCTCCTCCTCCAACTCTAGAAAAATTGCAGTACTAGGGTATTCCTTGCTCGTATGCTTGCATGTTTCTAAAATGTTTGTTTGATTTGGTGGGTTGGAACAAGGGTTGGAACACTGTAAAGCAGTGTATTTTAAAATTCCTTGTGGATGCATTTTTTTGGGCTGTCTGTGGAGCTTTTTGCTTGATTTTTAAACTACAAAATTTGTTGCCACCATCTGCCATGTATTCTATATAACTGAGAGATATGTTTTCACAAGAAAAGTTATTTTTCTTTCTTTTTTTTTTTTTGGCACCATAATTTTTTCATTTTGCAAACCTTGTATTTATCCATTTTAATAGCACCTTAGAGACAGATTGAGAGGTGAAAGATTTGTTGACAAAACATTGGCAATCAGGATTTCGGATATCCAGAGAAGCAGAAAACCTATTAATAGCACAATTTCTTGGCCACGTTTTTTCTGTGTATTTAAGATTCAATTAAAAGAGATGATTTTTGTTGAAAGACAATATGTGCTCTAGAGCATACTTGGTGCTTTCAGTCTAAATATGGCACGTCTAGTGATGTGAATCTGTAGTGTTCTTTGCTTTAAAAGTCTCTCCAAAGTAATTGGTTTTTTTTTCTGGATCTTGCATGAAGTTTGGATATGCTTTGTCATCTTTAACACTTGGATTTCTTATTCAAGTCCTCATAAGAGAACTTGCTAAAGGAACTCAGTATTAGGATGACTATTCCTCTTTTTTACTGCTTTTCTGTGCAGAGGCCTTAGCATTGGGCTGGTTTTGTCAGAACATGGATGTAATGTGTACAGTTTACATTCCTCTTCTCCTTTAAATAAAGAAAGGCTTTAGTTGCTGAAGAGGCAGTTTGGTGTGGAGTGTTTACAGATTGATGCCTTAGATCTGTCCTGTGGTCTTCCATTATTTTTATTGAAACAGCACTGAGGTGTTGCAAGGTTATTTATTACTGGCTGATCCAGATTGTAAACAGTAGGATACACGAGTGGCATGCCGCAGACAGCTTTCTGTGTTCCTCTGGTGACCCCATTCAGAATAACTCGGGAACCAGCTGAACTAGCTGTATTGTCATGGTGATATTATCAAAAGCAGGCTGCACCCTGGCTGCTGCCTTCCCTGTGGCCTGGTTCCCTGTGGTCACTGTGTGTCTAGAATGAGCAGAAGGAGTGCACAAAGTCATTACTCTTAGCTGTTCAGCAAATTTTGTCCCTGGCTGAAGCAAGAAGAAAGGATAGTGATGTGCTTGAAGAAGTAAGTTGTTGCTGTAGCATCAGAACAGCCAAGTAGGTTCTAGCTGGCTTGTGCTCACTCACTCCAGTGCTGTTTCAACAACAACACGTGTGAAACCTTTCACCAAAAATCATCCTAATTTCACCAAAATAAACCTAATTATTCTGCTATTGAAAACCCCATTGACAGTTAAACTTTGTGGGCACAGTGTGCTTTTGTTGCCTTCTCTAAATTGCCCCACTGCATTATACAGTGAAACTGACCAAGATTTCCCTCTGCTGGTAGCTGTCTATGTTTTTCTGAGAGGTGAAATGAGTGCTGAGACCCTTTGGAAGTAAAGCCATTATATAAGCAAAACACAGTCCATCATTTTGATTATATCAGAAAACAGGAAGAATTGTATCACTGAATTGGGGATACTTTGCCAGTAATCAGAATATGAAAATGCAAAATTTAAGTGTTACTAGTAAAGATCCCTGTGTGCTCTCATTTCAGTATAAAATGAAATATCTAAAATATTATGTTTTCCTAATTTTTGAGCCAAAGAAATGAACACATAGAGATTCAATTCAAAATAAGCTTCCAGACGGTTTCTTCACAGTTAAAAAATAGCCATTTAAAAAATTTTAAACACCACTGATTTATGATTAGGAGCTTTTTCACTATAAAGTACTAAATGTGTTGCTAGGTGAGCACAAACTAGGGAAAAATATATGAACTGAAATTTAATTTTGAAATACAAGGCTCTCGAAAGACCTGGATGTGTAAGTCTGTAGGCACTCACTTTTAGTATTCCCTCTAAAACATTGAGCTCAGTAAATGTGATAGCCACAACCACTGATAGCCTTCATCTAGAAGGTCTGAAGTGCATTTTTTGACTCTAGAAAGTGGTTTAAAAATTAGCTGTTTTCCTGTGTGACTCAAAAGCCATTTCCTATGTCTGTTCCGCTGTGGCGTCCAACAACTGCTTTTTTTACTACAAATACTGTTTTCACTCAGCATGAAAATAGCTAAGACTGAGTGAACTGCAGGTTGTTAAGTCATTGTCAACAGAATTAGTTATTAAACGTAAAGCTGATTATTTACACAAGCTCACTAAAGACTAAGATAGTTATGCAGAAGCAGGGAGGAGCCTAGTTCACTCCCAAGTCGTAGTTTCCTTGGCTAAACAGCAAGGGAAATAGTTTTCTGTGAACTGAATGTATGTTTTGGAGTCATTCATGCCTGCTGTTCTTAGTTGGTTTTTCAACTCTGCTTTCAACACGACCTGTTCTTCCTTGCACTGAAAGCCTTGGGAATTTAAATCTTGGCTTCGCTGGAAAGCAGGGCTGTATCCTACTTATTTTTATTTAAAGAATAAGAAATTTAATGGTTTATGTAAAATACTGCATTCTGTAGCTTACTTAGTCATAAGTGACTAATTTACATCTCACAGAAGTGCTAGTCGTGTTAAATTTTCATTACTTGGAACAAGATCAGAATTAAAAACTGGGAGGAGCAGAACAGATTCTCAGATCAGGACCTCAGTGTAATACATTTCTGCATTTTGCCAGCGAGTTCTTTTGGGAACTGATGATGTAAAATATTTTGATGGGGAGAGGAAAATGTTCTTATTATTCCAGCAAAATAGCTTTATTCCTTCCCTTTGTCTGAACAGGTAACCATCTGAATTTGGCCTGAATTAGCCTCTGCAGATGTGGTCTGGGGAAATTGGACAGGGGCCAACCCAGCATCGTCGCTGTGAGTTGGCACCTCAGGAGAGGGAGAACAATCAGAGTGCATAAAACCCTTTCACTTCCATTTTCACCTGACTCTTGTCACCCACCAGAACACAACATCAGTGTGGCAGTTTTGGACCACGTGGGTCACATGTGGGGCAGGTGTTTCTTGCGATACAGCAGACCCAGCTGAGCTAAAGCGGCTGTGACAGGAACGCCGTGTATTGCTCCTGCAAGCCTGAGAATGTGGTATTCTCTGGAGAACCTTCTGCCAGCTAGCTCTGCAAAGCTTTCCAGTAGCACAATTTTTATGTTGTTTTGTACAGTGTTGCTGGCTGTGGGCAGCAGTGTACTCTGGCAAGTTTTGTGCTCTTTACAAGGGGCACAGAGCCCATCTGGTGACCCACTGAACAGGTTAGGAAGCTTTGTGAAGAGAACTGAAGTCTATTCTCTTCCTCTTAGCATTTGAATTCTGTGGAAAGGCACTGGAAGGCCAACAGGAGACAAAGCTGTCTTGAAGCTGCCTAATGTAGACTTCAACAATTAGAACAAAGTATATTAAAGCCCAGAACCATTTAAGTGTGACGTGAACTGCTGGGTACCTTTACTGCAATGACGGTTGCTATGCTCACACCTAACATACTTACACATTATAGCATATATAGCGGTGACAAGAACAAGCTTTATTAGTTACATAATCGCATCAATCGCCAGCTTTCTAACACAAAGTATTAGACCTGGGACTATTCCTTGTGTTGAGAAATACTGCCCAAGAGTGGAGGAGCTTTATTAATTTTACCTGAGGATAAGATAAACTGCTCTGTTTTCGTCCCCAGGAATTCAGCAGCGGTGGGTCACGGCTGTTTCTGCTACGCCCTGATGCGCTCGATTCCAGTTGCCGCCTACGTTGTTCTGGTGACGGGTCTGCGGTACCACCTCTTCATATGGAGCGTCTTCTCTCCAAAGCTGCTGTACGAGGGAGTACACGTGTTCATCACGGCCGCTGTCTGCCTGTTCTTCACAGCCATGGATCAGAACCACCTTCACAGAGCGCAGGATTGGAAATAGGCGCGCGGCGTGCCGCTCTGCGCCGCGAGGCCCGGTGCCACCGGAATTGGAAGAAGGAAAATAAAGGCTTTAAATTGTTGTGCAGAATTTTGAAGAGTAGCCGTGTTTATTTGGGTCAGGATCAGGGTTTGAAAGGTCTGTCCTGTGTTAAAATTGAGTTTGCTCTAAAAATGTTGAGTTGAAATTAACTAGTTTTTTGATAAGTTATGTTCTGTAGCTGCCGTTGTAGTGCTCCCCAAATAACAGAATGGTGATATTACATTTTTTGGACCTTAAAATGTATATCTTAATATAAATACAGACCAGTGCCTTGTGGGCACTGAGAAAATCTTCTGCACATACAGTTTTTTTACCTTCTTAGACTACAGGATCCTAAAAATATTCAGGATTTCTTGGTGCTGTTCACAAGATATTCTGTCTGTTAGCCTCAGGGGATTTTTGTGTTTGTTTTGTTTCTAGTGGATGCATTTAGATTATTACTAAATTATTATTGCACAAATATCCCAGGTAAGAGATTTTGCTTGTTTTGCATGGGCAGCAAGCATTGCTATTTAAAGGCAGCATTTTCTTTGTAACGTGAGTGCAATCATTATCTGTAATGGATTTCGATCCGCACTTCAGGCACTGAATAAGAAATGCTTATGGTCTAACAAAGTAATGAATCTTCTGTGGAGTCCATCCACTGCTACAATGTTGAATTTCTTCTTATCAGTGTATAAATGTTAAATCAGGTTGGTGGCAGCCATGCTGAACATTTGGTCTTGTTTTGCACATGATGGTAGAGAGTTGTGAGCAGTGAATAGGAAAATAGTTTAATGGACTAAGTTACCAGCAGAATAAAGTGTGTTTGCAGTTTGCATCACCTTCCCCCAGTGACCTGTTTAGCCATCTCATTTGAATGTGCTGTAATTAATTCCAAACAATGTTGTTTTCCTTGCTTCTGTCAAGAAGATATATGTTGATGACTACACTGACTATCAATATTCTTAATGTGTGTTTTTTTGCCTCATATTTTTGTCCATGTTAGTAGCTGATAGGATTTAGTCTAAATGTATTAGAAGTATAGCAGAAGAGAAGCATAGGGAGAACCTTAACTTTTGTCATAAATCTGGAAAAAGAAAGCTTTCAAGACCTGTGCAGCTGATAGTCCATTTGTTAGACTCACTGATACACTTTGCATCTCATATTTCAGATAAAGCAAATCTCAAAATGTAGGCCTTTAGTTTTCATGTATTAATAACAAGCTATCTTGACCACTAATAATGAATTTTTTTTCAATTATAAAACAACCACAAAGTTCAGTACGCTGGCAACATATTGCCATTCACTGTGAGCTGTTGAAAGATGTAAAATTAAATACAAATAAATCACTCTTCACTGCAAAATATGGTATGTGAATGTAGTACAGATATACCATTTTTATCATTCTCAATATTCTTCTAGTTACCTGTTAGTGAGCAACCATGTGGGCATTACCAACATATTCTCTTTTTGGTTAATTGGTTAATTCCTAGGCAATTATCCCTAACATTCTAACAAGTTATGTTTGACTCAGACAGAAAGAGTGCTAATAAAGAGATGGAAGGGGTGAAGGAGAAGTTGCATCTGGTGTACAGAATCCTAAAACAGTGTGGGATGACATTCACAAGATCCTCTTTTCCTTCCTTCTGATGTTTTTTGCTTCTAGTACATTTTATCAAATAGTGGAATTTTAAATACTGTGTGTGAATTAAGGTTGCATTTCTTCAGATTACTTAGTTAAATAATAATTTCTCCTTTGAAGTTGGAAGATGTCCAGATTGCATCCTGGGAAAACTGTGTTATTTAGGTCTTCAAGACCAGGAGAGGAAGGAAGACGAAGACACCATGTCTCTGTCTCAAGTTAACTCATGGTTTAGGTGATACATGGTACTTTCCACTTCAGAATTGCCATTTTTATTCTTTTTCACCCTTTCCCTTTGGGCATAGGCAAATGAAGTCGTAGCTTCATCAGCTTACGGGCTATAGCAATGCAAAACTCAGGCAGTGAAGGAATGAGTTGGTTCTTGCCACAGGCAAACAGACTTTAACTGGGGAATTATGTAAAAATAGTTTTATTTTAAATCAACATAAAATTCTGGCATTTGATCTGAATGTACAGAGAATGCAAATGCCTCAACACAAATTCTTACCTCACTAGTTGGTTGTTCCACCTCCCTTCTCATCCAGTCTCCTCCCATCATGTTCAGCATTTTCCAGACCCTCAGTGAAGGAGACAAGTGCTGTGGGAAGCAGGGATGCTAATTTTTGCCATTCTGAGCATGCCAGTTCCTTCTGTCCAACTCCTCTGTAGTCCCTGCTCTGATGTGGGATCAGCCTGGGCTGCAGCTTCCTTGGTAGTACCCAGTGCATGGGCATAGACGCCTCCTTAAATACCTTCTGAGCAGGAATGTTTTCTCAGTGTGGAGAAAGTTTTGACATGTTGAATTTCTCCATTCAGCACCCTCACTGTTGACCAGGGCCAGGTTCAGCCACTTACAGTGGTCTGTATGTTCCTTTATGAGATTCACTAGGTCACCCTCGGTCAGCTCAGCTCACTGGCACTCAAAGCTTGTAACATGTCATCAGCCTTACAGAGTCAGACCATGATGAAGCTCGAGCTTCATTCTTGTAAATGAATTCGGGTTTAGGAAAAAAAAATAATTAAATCTATTCATATTTCAGGTACTGTATATCTGTATTTCTGCTCTCTAGAAAAAAAACAAAAACAAACCACCTTGTTTTCCTTGGCTCTGTATAAGCCGGAGGAAGATCCACGGCGTGCACCCCAGCCTTTCCAGCAGGCAAGGCGTGTGTGCTAGGCTGCTGCACCTAGACTCTGTGGAGAAGGGAAGAGTACTGGATGTTGGACAGCTTTATCGAGGCCTTTAGCATTGGGTGCTTGGTGGTCATGTGTTGAGCTGTGGATCAACGGGCTTGAAGGTGGACTGGATCTCCGAGCTCTAAGGGTTGCCTTCAGTGGTCTCAGGTCCCCCCCAGGGGGCTGATAAACAGCAGGGCAGTGCTAGGGTAAGGCAATTTAAAATTTTTCTTAAGCTGGATGAGGGGAGGGCAAGACCAGAGCAAATCTGGGAATGCTACCAAACTGGAGGAGTGGTGTATATGCTGGTGGGGAGGACCACCCTTTGGAGGGACCTTGGAACTCTGGAGAAAAGGGCTGCTGACCACCTGCTGTACCATCCAAGCAAACACCTCTGGCTGGTAATGGTGCAGGATGAGGCCTGTGGGCTGGTGAACAGCTCTGCAGACCCAGTGGGCATCAAGGGAGACTGTGAGCAGCCCTGACAGCCTCATTTGCACACACACACTCATTTGCACACATAGTTTGTCCAACACCTGGCCCAAATCCCACTGGCCTGCTCTGCTGCTGGCACCCAGAGAAGGGAACTGCAGAGGTCATGAGCTGTGCTTCTGTTACTGGTACCCAGACCTCTTCTCTCACCGAGAGAAGTTTTGTCAATCTGATTCCAGGCTGAAGTTCACTGGTGTTCACATGTACCTGCCAAGAGCAGAGGATGCACTCACAAAGAAGTAGGGTTTAATGAGAGGATGTGGCACACAGTAGTGATGAAGTGGACTCCCACAGAGGAATAGCACTGACTGTTCAGTATAAACAGAAGCTTGTTTATACTGAGCCAGACCTTTTTATCCACATTGGCCTCTGCTTTCCCATGTTTTTTCCTTCCTGAAACATCTTGAACCTTCTTTTTCCCTACCTTTGGTACTTTTCCTAAGTATTACATAATAACTGACATGTTCTATCAAGCCCCTTAAAAACATACCATAGGTTTTACAGAATCCTGAATTGCTTTTCCCTGTGGAAAAGCATAATGAGACCTGTACTCCTTCAGGCTCCTTCAGTCTGCAAGGTCTTCAATGGGAGGAGTTCCTTTGATTGACTAATCCTGGTGGGCTTCACAGCAGGGACAATTGTCCAATTGCTTAGTGGATAATTAGATAGTCGTCTAAATAAATTACTATAAATTGCTGGTTAAGCAGTTAGGTTAGCAGAGATCCTCAGCATTTCTCGCCCATCTCACCCTCACCAGACCTTTGTGTAACCATGACTTTAATTACCAAAGTTCACTGTGATTTGTGCCTTGTTTCAGCCCTGGGGGATGAGGAAGCATCAGAGACTTTTTGACTGCAGTCAGCTCCCAGGAGGTGGGGCAAGGAGATAATGGGGGTAGACTCTTCTCAGAAGGGCACAGGGAGAGATACAAAGGCAACAGGCACAAGTTGCAATACAGGACATTGCCAAGAGGTCACAAAGGGGACCCTTTTCTCACTTGGGTGTTTATTGCTGGGATGGGGGCCAGTGAGATCTTCCAGCATTGGAGCAGTCTCATTTAGTTGCCCCTGCTGTTGGCTGGAAGTTGTACTGTGTGAGCTCCAGAGGGCTCCTCCAAGCAAAATTTTTCAAGCATTGTGTGGTTTTGTTGTGTTTGAAGTTGTCTCTGCCATTTCTTACTGTACCATTTTTTTAGGCTACTTCCTGAAGTGAAAGAGCTTTATCACTGATTTCATGATAAAAATATAAATAAATTAACCAACAGAAAATAAAACGTGTCATGTTTTATTTTTCTGGAAGAGATAAGCATCACAGCTGAAAACTGCTGTTAATTTCAGTTTTATTTTATGTAGCTGTGCATTTACACCTTAGATACCAGAAATATCATCAGTGGAAGGAGAGGTGATGCCTATTGGGTGATGTCTATTGCAAAGACTACTGGTGATGTAGATCATGACACAGCACAGCTCACACAGCAAAGGAGCACCCAGTACTGCTTGGTTGGTGCACTGGTCACCAGCAGGAAGACACAAGGTCCAGAACATGCAGAAGACCCGGCAGCTGTTACCCTGAGAGCTGGT